GAGTAAGATCTAAGAGGTATATTTAGAACCTTATATTCTGAACATAGAGACTATATTTTTTTTAAGTGTCTATTGAATATTTACAAAAATTGACCATTTATTATATACAAAATGCTAATAAATTTCAAAAACAGGCACAATTTAATAATACTAGAAATCAGAAAAGAGAAAGCCTCTTGCCTTCTTAATCAACTTTTGTGTAAAAATACAATTTTACAACATTTGGAAAACAGCGATGATGAAAGTGCTACTCCTATGTATTAGGCCAAAGCAGTGCTAAGACGAAAACTCACACACACATATATATATAAATAGCTAACCACTTACTTAAACAGTAGAAGGAGAACAAAAAATTAAGGAAGGCAAGCAGAAGGAAGAAATTCATAAAGATAAATGCAGAAATTGAGTGAGGAAAACTACCAAATTGAAAATTAATCCAAAAGTAGCTTTTCTGTTTAATTTTCTTTTTTTACAGAAAGTCACCTAATCCAATAAAGGAAAAAAAGGCACAAATTCACGACATAATAATTAATTACATAGTAATCAGCAGTCACAGAAATGGAGGATAATAAAAAGGATATATTTCTATTAACATGGCAGATAAAATATAAAAACTTGGATAAAGTGTAAATTATTCCAGGAAAATATAATTTACCAACTATAATTTGTTTGATAAGTGTGTATATGTATGTGTGTATGTGTGTGTATGTGTATGTATGAAGATCAAAATCAAAAAGCTAAACTGCAAAAAGTACAAAGCTCAGATGCTCTCATAAGAAAGTTCTAACACAGCCTCTTAAGAGCAGATAATTCCAATGCTATTTTAAACTATATCAAAGCATAGAAAATTCAGAAAACCATCCAAATTCTCTTTTTATGAAGCAATAAAACATTAATATCAAAGTCTGAAAAAGATTTCACCAAAAAATAAGACTAGAGACCAATTGTACTTATTAATATTGAAAAATCGCAAATAAAAAATTAGCAAATGGAACAGAGCAGCACATTAAAAGAATTATTCATCATCACCAAATAGGGTTCGTTTTGGAATCCGAGTCCTTCCCTGTCTTCAGTGTTGAAAGATTTATTTATATAATTTATCATATTAATTGATCTAGGGAGAAAAAGTACATGATCATCTCCATGGAAGCTGAAATCTAACATAATTTTGGTTAAAATAAAATTATCTAACTAGGGATAGGTAGTTTCCTTTCCATGATAAATACGTTTGTATATCCGCCCCAGATCTGGCCTTTGCTTAGTGAGAATCATAGCAATATTTCCACTGAAGTCTGGAACAGATAAGGATGCTTGTTATAACCACTGTTCTCCATTGTGCTAAGTTGTACACTGAATTAGCAAACAGATAAGAGAAAGAAAATAAAGGCATAAAAATAAGGAAGGAAGAGGTAAAGCTATTGCTCTGTGAAGATTTCTTCATTCATTCAAGAACTATTTATTGAGTCCCTACTATATTCTAGGTATTTGTGAAAAAAGATACTAGAAATTTCCCTTGTTTATAGAGTTTACGTTCCAGTAATATGCTATTATATGACTGTATAGCAGGAAAATTAAAGGAATCAAGTGAAAAACTACCACAAACAATATGAAATGTTATTGCAAAATTAGTACCTATATATATATATGCAAACTAAAGTAGTTAGAAGATAGAAGAAAATTCCTTACAATAAAAACCGAAAAGATAATATCCTAGGAATAAATATAACAAGGATGTGCAAGGCATGTGAGGAAAACTTTCAAACATTTTGGAAAGACACAAAAGACAAATTGAGTAAAGATATTAGTTCACTCTATATTAATTTAAGAACTTGGTATAATCTCATTTAAAATACCAATAGACCATTTTTAAATTTTGAAACTAGACAAGCCAATTCTAAATTTCATAAAGAAAAGTAAATAAAGATATCTGAGTAAGCTAACTATATGTACTGGCACATGAGCAATAGAACAATGGAAGAATGCATTTGATTTCTCATGAGGAGGTGAACAATGGTACCAGGCTATCTGGGTAGCCATTTGGAAAGAAAGTTAGATTCATACCTCCCACTGTATACCAGGATATATTCCAAATGCAATCACTATTGAATGTAAAAATCAAATCTGTGAATGTATTACAATCAAGACTATAAATGTGAGAGAATTTCTTGAACATTTGGGATAGGGAAGGCTTTTCTAATTATGACCCCAATTCAGAAGCTGTAACAGAAAAGATTGATAAATTCCTGTTTTTTAAACACTTAGACAAGTGAAAAACACCATAAGCTAATTCTAAAACAAATAGACTTTGGTACAAAGTGTGCAACCTATGGTACAGGTTTAATCACCTTAATAAATGAAGAAATTCTACAAATCAGTAAAGAAAATACCTACAAATCAAGGAAAAAATGTGCAATAGATATGAAAAGACTGTTCATAAAAAGGAAGTACAGATGTATTTTAAGACACATGAAAAGATGCTTCTCATAAAAAGAGAAAATCAAATTAAAAATATAATGAGGGTCTGGCCCCGTGGCCGAGTGGTTAAGTTCGCGCGCTCCGCTGCAGGCGGCCCAGTGTTTCGTTGGTTCGAATCCTGGGCGCGGACATGGCACTGCTCATCAAACCACGCTGAGGCAGCGTCCCATATGCCACAACTAGAAGGACCCACGACGAAGAATATACAACTGTGTACCTGGGGGCTTTGGGGAGAAAAATGAAAAAAATAAAATCTTTAAAAAATATAATGAGATACTACTTTCTTTTTGTGTGTCTGTGAGGAAGATTGGCCTGAACTAACATCTGTGCCAATCTTTCTCTATTTTATGTGGGATGCTACGACAGCATGGCTTTACCACGAGTGTTAGGTCCATGCTTGGAATCCGAACCTGCAAACTCTGGGCTGCCAAGGCGGAGTGGGCGAACTTAACTACTACGCTACTGGGCCGGCCCCGAGATACTACTTTTTATATATTAGACTGGAAAAAAATGGAAAAGTCTGATAACCTACTCTTTTGATGAGGCTTTGGGAAATGGGCATTCTTGCTTGTGAGAGTATATATTGGTAAAATCATTCATGAGGGTAGTTTTTTAATGTCTAAATAAATTGAAGTTGCATAGACTTTGATTTCCAATGTTTGCTTTCAACATTTTATCCCTGTATATATGCTTGTATAAAATGACCTAGGGCGAGGTTATTTATTGCAGCATTGTTTTTAGTAGCAGAAGTGTGGGAGCTTCTAAAATGTCCATTAATCGGGGACTGGGTAAGTAAATTATGGCATATCCTTATAGTTCTACAAAAAGAGGACATTCTTTATATTTTGATATGGAAATATTCCAAGGTACATTGTAAAGTGAAAAATCCAAAGTTTAGAATGATGTGTATACTATGCAACCATTGTGTGACAAGGGGGATGTAAGAATCCATATTCAAGTTTGCCTGTGTCTGCACAAAGTAACTCGGAGAGAAACTGATTTAATAACTGGTTACCTGGTAGGAAGGGGAGAGTAGGAACTGAGAGAGCAGTAAGAACAAAGTGGGAAGGTAAGACTTTAGATAATTTAAAATCTGTGAACTATGTGAATATTTTCCCTATTCAATAAGCTTAGAAAATAAATCGAAATAAAAATGAATTCCTCTAAGAAAATGGCATAGCCAAGATATATTGTAGGTTGTGAATTTTCTCTCTCCCATATTTTTTAATTAGGAGAGACAAAAGGAGCATGTGGATGGTGTTATGACTGCTGAAAAACCACTCAAAGTACATGCCTCACTGAAAGTTGGGAAATAATTTTCACAGACATAACCTCAGCACATTTTATACCCTCAGTCATAACACCAAGGCCATTTGCTGTGTTTTCTGTATGTCTGACACCTCGAATTGCTTGAGATGCTTTAAAAAGTTGCCATATGGACATTCCACCTGTATAACTTGAAAGCTGGTCAGCCTGCCTTTCCCTACCCCATTTTTGGTTATTTCTTCTGATCATTAACCTCTCATTAATATTAAAGCAAAGGTGGAACAAATGAAGGAATAGAACTGAACTGGCTTAGGTTTGCTGTGGGGCAGGTCACCCTCACGTGATTGTTGGCAGGATGCTCTCTAAGACAGTGAAGAGACGGGAGGGGTAGGGAAGAGGAGAACTAACATTTACTGAGTTTTACGTTTGTTGTTACATTTGGTCCTCACCACAGTCCCATTTAGCTGGATAAATAACCCCCCCTTTTTTTTTTTACAGGTGAGGAAACTCAGGCTCAGAGAGGTCATTAGAGGGAGGAATTGAATCTGTCTGTCATCTCCTAAGGTTATAGAAATGAGTCAGAGACAGAGAAATATCATCATATAGCAAGCATAAATAGGGTCTCTTTCCACTTCACCAAGTTTGCTTCAAGTAATGCATAGTTGTTGTAAAAGGTTGACGGGGATCCGGCCAAAAGGAATGACCAAGAAAAGGAATAGAAGAGGAATGTGTGAAGAACAGAGGAGAGGGAGAGAGAAGAGGAAGAAAGAGAAAACATGTTTCGTAGTAGAATTAGTACTTTAGTTTAATGGGAGGTATTTTGGGATTATTCCATGTTTTTTGTCTGTCCTATGTTATCCTCATTGTGATAATTGGATATAGCATTTTTTCCTGAGAAAGTGAAATATTTGACTGATGCGTCTTTGCAAATTCACCATCACCTAACTCCTTTCCTTGAAGGCTGATGAAGCTGACTCAGCCAGTTGTCTGTTCTCTTGAATCTTCGTTGCTGACAAGAAGTGCAAGCATTAGAGCAAGATTCATATTTTTTCAATATTGTTTCATAATGAATAACTTTTCTTGTCCTAAGTGGTTATGTTCATGCTGCTAATGGAAGGTCTAGGTCCTCAGCAGTAAATATAGAAATCTCAGTAGTAGATATTAATATTAAATAAAGGGAGAAAAGTCTCAAATATAGACAAGGGCAGATCTGTTGATGGTGAAGATGAAAATGGTTTTCCCGGTACTCTGTTTCATAGCATCCTGATGAAAAGCGGTTGGAAGGTCTCTCCAAGCAGCTGGACTGGGACGTCCGCAGCATACAACGCTGGTTTCGACAGAGACGCAACCAGGAGAAGCCAAGCACGCTGACGAGGTTCTGTGAGAGCATGTAAGTTGCTGTTTTTCTTTTTGATAGAAAAACCTGCCTAAGTACTCAGACCATCCTTGAGGTGAAAACAATGGCTCAGTGCAGGCTCCAGCAGCTCCTAGAAAGCTAGAAAGCATGTCATCTGTTGGAAAAATAGTCCATGAAAAACTGGAGGATTAACAGTTTGTAAGAATTTGTGATTTCCACTTTGGATGCAGTAAATGCAGTTTGTTTCCTAATGGAGTTCCTACAAAGCAGGCAGATTATAGGGGCCTACGGTGGCATTTTCAATCAGCCCCCTCTGAAACACAGCGCTGAAAGTCATTACTTTTATAGTTTGAATTTTAATAGAGGGGACTTTGCCAAGATGTTCTTTCCACTGATAAAAGCTGAGAAACTGGGATATATTGTCAGAGGGTCATGACGATGTCCTATATTCCTGGAGATTTAAGAAATGGCTATATTACATTCCTGGGTGAGTTTAATGAAGCATTACTTGAAGGTGGGGGATGGAATGAATGTCTCTACCATTTCTGAAATGTGAACTTTATGGCGTGTAAATTATGTATAAATAAAGCTGTTAAAAATAATAAAAGACCCACAGAGAACTCTCTAGCACAGTGATCTTTTGAAGTAGTGACACTCAATATGCTTATCTCTAGGAAAGTTAGAGAAAGAAATATAGAAGCATTGAGCACATCCTTAACAAAGGGAAGATTCTGCCTCGAGACCCATTACTCTGTTTGGTCTTTATCCCTTGGGATATGGCTGTGCCTTTGTCTAACAGTCCTTTCCTTTGGGACCTTTTTCCTGGCACCTGGTCATTTAAACAATAGTGCTGTCAGTGTAGCTCCCTTTATTGCAGGCTCCTTCTATTTGGGGTTAAAGTTGCACTTTTAGATTTAGCTTTCAATTATGCCAAAAAAGCATTTTAGCAATTGCAATCTAAAGCTTAGAGGGAAGCCTAATGTTATAGGAGAAGTGAGTGAGAGGCAGAATAATATCATAAATTCCTAGGGCTAGATAAACATGAGGGGCACAAACAGGGTCTTCAGGAGGTCAGATATTTATAAAATCTGGAAAAACCACCTAATAGTTGAAATCTGCAAAGCCCTTCCTATAACTTCCTGAACTTAGTGGCAGTTTATGAGACAAGGATTTATACCATCTGGGCTACTGATCAAAAGCTAGAATTGCTTCCTGGCCTGGCCCTGTCACATACGCAAAGGGCCTGGACCCCATCATTAAGCTGTGGGTCTGAGCAGGGGTGAAGTTGGGTCTAGGCACATGCCCACATGCTGAAACTCATGTGCCATCTTCCCTTCCTCCAGCTAACTTCTTTGGTAACTCAGTGCTAGCCCTTTCTATGTTATACTGAGTCTACACAAGCTTCTACTCCGGTATGCATAGGAATCAGTCACCTGGATCTCGTTAAAATGCAGATTCTGATTCAGTCTGATTCAGATTCTGATTCATTCTGGGATGGTAGCTGAGACTGCATTTTTAACAAGTTCCTAGGTGATGCCACTGGGCCATGGACCACACTTGGAATAGCAAGATGCAACACTATACCAGTGTCTGTCTTCTCCTTGAATTCCGCTGGTCTTATTTGCACACCACAATCACCAGGATGGTCATAGCTACCATCAGTTAAAAATATTTCTAAGTGGTTGCTAGAGGCATGGCAATGTGAGGGTACAATGAGGGGTGGGGGAGCGATAAAGTATTGATTGTGATCTCTTCTCCCGAGAAGCTCAGTATAATAGTGTCAAGGAGATATGACATAATATCTGAGTGTGTGTGGGTCTATATTAGATATTAAAAAACAACCAGATATGTGTGATAAATGATTGATAGGGACAGTCAGTAACTAAAGATTAAAGGAGAAAGATCAGCTCTAGGTTAGGGCACCCAGGGAAGTTGCTGGGTCTAGAACTGAATCAATACCAGTAGTCTTTGACTGTGCTGATGAACTTTGCCTTGAAACTCTCTTTCTCCCTGGCTTCCGGGTTGCCACTAGATTTTCCTGCGTTTCTGAGGTCTTTCGTTTGCATCATTTATTCTGCATTTTCCATATATCTTTAATGGGCAACTTCTCCAGATTCAGTCTTCAGCCTCTTATTTTCCTCATTCTACCTTCCATTCTCTGTGTAGACGTTATTTCTTCTCAGCAGCTTCTTCCAAAGCCATATGTCCAGTGCAGATGATTTTTCTGAGGCATCATTCTGTCTCCAGCTGGCCACTCTAATTTGCTTCCACTCCTGACTTCCTTCTTTCTCCTGTTGTTTGTTTGCCTTCATTCTATTACAGGCTGGAAACTCAAACCAATCAGCCACTGAGCTCCATTAGTTCTTTGTAAAGCTACTGCTGTGGCCCAGATCCTTATTGTTCTCATAGGTCTCATTATTTATATCACATTCATAGACATTTTGTTTGCTACCAAAAATAAATAAATTTTCCTAAAATACTACTGTCTCCGTGTTCTGCTGCTTTAAAATCTTGATGATTCTCTGCAGCTGTAGGACAAATATTAGGCTCCTTAGCCTGATAGCTGGAGTCTGGCCTTTATCTGGTTGGTATCAGTCACCCAAGTGAGCCCTTCCTTGCAGAGGGCTGTGTTTTCACTGTCTATGCTTCGTTCACTGCTGCCTTGGTTTGTGCTGTGTTCCTGGCATGGAGCACCTACATTCCTCTGCCCTGCCCATTTATCTACTACCTATCCTTCAAACCCCAGGCCCTCTTGGAACTGTGGTCTGACTGTTGGGTCTGGAGTGAGCACTGTTTCTTCTGAATTCTTAAAGTCCTTGTTGTAAGTATGAGTAATTTAATACTGAATCACATGCTTCCTTATATGGTTATTTAACTTAGCTTGTCTGTATATTTTCACCCTAATTGTATCACACATGCTCCTTGAGGGCACAAGAACCACATCTTGTTTTTCTTGCATTCTTCTCAGCCTGTAGCACACATATAGACTCTGCTGAATAAATATTTGTTAGAGGACTGTATGTTAAGATGGCATTGTTTTGGAAGGATTTGCTGATCTAAGTTGGTATCCTGCTCCCCAAAATGAAGAATGCCTAACGTACACTGACTTAGCCTAAAATTTGTCTGAAAAATTACCAAACTGTGGAAAGCTCCAAGACAATTTCAAAGACAGAAATTCAGAGGAAAGAATAGGATGGCAAAGGAGAACATTTAGGTAACACCACGAGGAGTAAAGCAGAATTATATTGGTCTTTGTATGCACATGCGTGTGTTATAGTTATTTGTTCATCAGTATGAAAAGTGATCTGGAAAAATTGTTCCTAACCAGTGATGCTCTTCACAGTCACCTGGCAAGCCTTTCAAAATACTCCTGCCCAGGACCCGTTCCAGGATGTCTGATTCATTGTGGTGTCCAGGTGGGGTCTGGACACGTATATCTTGGAAGAAACACCTTGAGAACTAATGACACACAGCCCTGGTTAAGGAGCACTAATCTCTGAAAAGCAATGACTGCTGTTCAGAAATACTAAAAATCAAATTAGAAAGCAAGACAACACAACTTTGGGTCTTGTAAATCTAGGGCTCAAATGTAAAGATTCCATAGTTTTTCTGTTATATAAATTACTATTTTAGAAAATATAGAAATCCCTTCCGGGGAATTGTATTTCGTCTTTCAGCAGCGTCAAATAGTACCAGTACGCATGCCAAACAGCGCTTGTAACCATCTGCTGGCATGTCCAATTTTTGGCGCACCCATTTAGTACAGATGGACTGAGTAGAAGTTGTTCAGCAAATAATGTGTTGAAACATTGACGTGATATTTTTTTTTCTTCATACTTGATGTCAGTCATTCACAGCTGTGTTACTTTTGATGAATATTTCTTCTAGAAGCATTTAAATCCTTATTGGCAACTGAAATAGAGATTTTTCAAGAGAGAGTGAAGAATTTATAAAAATGGGATGTCATGTGAGACATTTTAGGAGAAACTGGTTCTAAATGGGAACCATTTAGCTAGGATGTTGTGCTTTGAGGCTGCTGAAGCTTTGTCTTCCTCCTCCAGAAATTGCATCAGGATAATATAAAAATAAATAATATCTGCAATAAAAAATATCTGCAAGATGAAACAGGAAGGGGCAGAGATAAGATGTCAGAATAAATGGCTTCTCTCTCATTTGTACCCTACCTGTGCTCAATATTTTTGAATATTATGCAGTACGTTTAATGGTGCTGGGAGTAAATATTATATATGGCTTTCATTTAAGCAGTCTCCAGTTGACTAGACAGATAAATCTCCCATATGATAACCTGAAAATATAGGACAAGGAACATTCACACTTCACAGATTAGTAGTAATTTATTTGGATTGAATTTTACTCCATATGGAGGCTTGTTGTTAGATGAGGGCCCAAGATTGTCTTTTCTTTAGGCATTCCATTTTAGAGTTGATGCTGATTAAAACTGCCATATTAAAATGCTGCCATATTTTGATGCCTCTGTTCAGTGGCAAGAGACTGACCAAAATCTGGAAACCTTTTGAAATTGTGACTTTATTTTTGCAAAGAAGCCCTGTGATCTTCTTAATTTGTGATTCCATTGACCTAATAATTCCGCAATGAGAAATGAGTGGCTTAAACACTTGCCCTCATGACACCAACTCCATTACTGTTTTTACTTCATAGCTCTTTACTTGGATAAGTCAGCAATGCTGTCTTGTGACCTCAGTAAGAAAGCAGAGCCTAGTAATTGAGAGGGAAAAGGGAGCAGGGTTGTACAGGAGAAAACAAATTGAGTCTCATATTCCTTTATTTCAGATCAACCTTTGATCTGAGGAAATTGTGTGGTGAATATAATCAACAAATTTTCATAACCCAGTCACCTGTTTGCAAAAAAAAGCAACTGAGTATTTGTAAACTGTTTTAGAACCTTCCATATATTCCACACTCTGGTAAAGGACAAAATTTTGCCAAAGAGAAAATTCAGTTTTGATTGTTTTCTCCATTAGATCATGACGTGAGCATCATTTACAAAGTTT